TTTGATTCCAGTAAATTTCTGGCTCTTGAGAAAAATATAGAATCTTTTGTAACGTGCATATGATATAACGATAATGATCCTTGCATTAATGATATCGCGTAAGTCAATGAATGGAAAATTAATCAACAGCTGTTTTGGTAATCAATCATTAATTTCAGTCATTTTTCAACCAAAAACAAAAACATCAATCATCCTCCAGGTTATGTTTCTCTAGTGCGAGCATTTGCTACTTATTAAACTGAATGTCTGTGGCTTTTGGACTGTTGAGTGGGCAAAACAAAACATCTCAAAACATCACATTCTTCTAACATTTTATACACAAGACCATTAATGTAATCATCAAGGACATAAACAGCAATCGCATTAATCAAGAAAATAAACATCCATTGCAGCTCTAAATAATTCACTATTTATAACTGATGTAACTGTAGATGCTGGTTGCAGATTGGTACGGGAATTATTACTTTATAAACTTTATAATGCTGCATAGAACAAAATTGCTTGTAAAACTAAACACAGTGTTTTCTATTAGAACAGTGGCAGAGTGGTTCAGCTTAGTTTAGTGTATTGCACAAACTGCATTGCAGTTGTTTCTCGCTCAAAATTTAAGGTCTTACTACCAGACCACTTACTAATGTGAACAAAGAGCAACATTGCAAGTTTGGTCCGTCTTATCGATGCATCTTTTCTAAAGCCCACCTCCTCTGAGCTCTCCAGTCCTTGTATGCAGCATCATTCTGCTCTCACCATTCATTTTCCTCAGGGCAGCTTCCTTCTACCTTCCTATTGATCTGCTGTGCACCAACATGCTGGAGTGTCAATTAGAGAGCCCCTCCTGCCCATCTGTGAGAGGAGAGCTGCAGCATCTCTGAAAGTTTCCCTGGCTGGCTTCACCACCCAGCAGCTGCTCAGGTCAGAGGATAAAGACGGGAATAATCTGCTGAAAATACATATACATAGGTGTATCCTTATTTGTATTTATAATGCTCCTTTTTCCAGTACCGATTGGACTGTAAAACGCTTGGGCTAGAGCCGTGGAAATTTCTAATTTGAAGCAATAAAAAAAAAAAATATGAGGTGGAGTTCAAAGATGGAGTGGCTGGTCTGCACAACGCAAAAGTTTTTTTAATGTTTTATTTTTCAGATGAAGCACAAGTCAGGCGGGTAGAGGAGTGGAAGGGGCATATGTTTCTCAGTGCAAACGGATCCTGTTTGTAGCATTGTAACTCGAAGCAACCCGAGTCTCCAGTTATGTTGTTCGCATATCTTATATCACATTTCCCCCAATGACTTTGCTATTTATGTTCTGTTAAAACACAAACTGTCTCTAGACCTCCTTCAAATATCAACAGACTGTTGCAACACTTCCTAAATATCAAAATTGTCTGCACACTTGAAAACAAATCTCGGTGACAGATGTGTAGGCGAGGCGAGAACCGGGTACAATGTAAAACAACACCCACACTGTGTTTTCATGTGCACAGTCAAAATCACAGTTTTATTTGATAATATTTCAGTCAAGAACTCTCATTAATTTGAATCTTATATAATAACCCGACATCTTTTAATGGGCAGAAAATAAACATAGAAAATATTTTTGAATTGGTTAAAATGCGTTATTGTAAACAGACAAGTTTTGCTGGTATCGTTGTAGTATAGTTGAGGTGTTTCTGTAGATTCAGCTGCTGCTGTAGCCTGCGAGCCCATGTAACAACACACTGATTTGCCTGAAGGTTATTGTATGGCCTTTTCAAATGAATGCATAGTCTATTCTGAAATTCGCTCTCTTTTGCACCTGAGGAGAGTCTGTTCTCCTGATATGAATCTCCTCTAATTCCTGCAGCTGTCTTTGACATTTTGCAGTTGGGAAGCACTGCTGTTGTCTTTCTCAAGTCTCTTTTTGTACATGTTTATTGAGGTATGCCATCAGGGGCTGATTTGTAAACACACACACATTTGGTCTTCTCATTTGGAGCCCATGTGACTTGTTTTCTTTTTGTTCATTGCAGTGATTCAAAGGCAAACCAAAGCTGAGGTAGACTTAGAAAAAAATGAAATGAAAATTGTTAAATGAGCCACAGCATTGAATCTGCGTCACAAGCAGCATATTACAGCCGAGTTCTAGAAATAAGCCATACACTGGGAACATTGATAACATGTAACCTGATTTCACTGAATATGCTAATACTGCACGTTTCGATTTGGTTACTACATCACTATATGTCGTGTTGCATAAAACTCTTGAAAGGTGGTCTGCACAGACCCCAGCGCTTGATTAAAGTGGGATTCACAGGTTTCAACAGAGTGATGGTGGTTTCTGAAATGATTTATTCAGAGGGTACAGGCAGCCCACCCTGAATGCACTGAGATCTTCCAGATTACAGAATGAATTACCCAGATCGTGGCCAAAGAGGAAACACTATAAGATACTCATCTGGAACAAGGCAAAACAAGCTGATTAACATGATAATGCTTGATGTAATCTTGTGAAGTGTAAGATCCTTTTCTTTCAATTGCACGCAAGATACTCCTTCAGATTGGCTGGCTGCTCTTTTCAGACTGATGGAGACATGAGCTGTCTCCCTACCAGCTCCTCTTTGCACAAACATGAAGTTTGATGACATCTGTCTTGAAATCCGCAGTGTTGTAGGACAGTTTTGTATTTGAACTCTTCAGTGTTTAGAGCTGTGTATTCTTTTTGCCTATCTATACCACAGTGTTTTGGCAGCATCAGCAGCAGCTCTCACTGCCTCTGCCTCAGTGTTTGCTTTGATTTTTTTTTTTAGATATGCTGGTGCATGGGTTTGTATGTGGTTACAGGAGCTAAGGTTGAGTTGGCTGGTTCTCCTGTTGTCATCTGCTGTGCAGCAGTGAAAGTGGACCTGCAGTGAATCAACTCTGCAAAAATTACTTCTCACTCAGTAGGAGATAGTTGGGTGTATTCAAAGGACCTTGTCACTTCCAATATGGTCTCAATGAATCTCAGCCATTGCCGATCCAAGGCTTCAACCCACTCCTCTGGAAAACCAATGTCTACAGCCCTATTCTGTGACTGTGTTTCGCTAGATTGTTCCTTCAGAGCCTATTACAGCTCCAGGAATGAACAGGGTGTAGATATGTACATATACAAGATGGCCTGTAGTGGCAAATTTTGCGTGTCTGTCTCGCAAGTGAGTGTGTGTGTGTGTGTGTGTGTGTCTGTGTGTCTGTGTGTGTCAGAGGAAGGAAAAAAAGACAAAGGTGGGAATGATAATGTGTAGATGTGCATCACAGTATGGAGCTAAGAATCTCAGAATCCAGCTTTTAAATCTGCGTTGTGTACCTGGCGAGCTTGTTTACAACATTTAAATCTGCACAAAATCTGCATCTAATAACCCTCACAGCGGTGAAACAATAAACTCAAACTACATCAAAACAGATTTAGCTAGGCACAACTTGTATCACAGAGCTGAGAATAAGGTTTTAGACTTAAGGTTATCGTTGTATTGGAGCTCTGCTTCTATACGTGCTCAGGATGTGTAAAATAAGACAATAAAAATATTATTCTTCTAATCCCTTTGTGGCAGGCGGCAGTGATCTGGACAATGTTTGAAAAATCAAGAGTCCACTTGCTTAATGCAGTGATTTCTTAAGGTGGATATTTTTCTTCATGCCTACTTTGGATATAAAAGCTGCTCTCCATCTGTAATAGCATTATTACCATTTCGCTCTCATTTCTCAGGCCGTACCCGCGTTGGTTTGTTGTACTTCCCTACCCTGGCGGGCACAGACTAAGACATGCCTTAGAGACTCAAAGACCCACATATGAATTCTATTATAATATATATAATTGATTTTGCCTCTAGTAAGAAGAAATACCTAGGTAATGTTGGAGCGGTCCACTTTGCCCAAAGAGATATTACATTTATCCTATAGCTTACTCAGTCCTTTTGAACTCGCCTTTAAACCCTAAATGTCTCTAATGATTTGATAGGCCTTGAAGAAGTATTTAATGTGGCAGCAACGGTGATACATTTTCTGGAAAATAATAATTTCATAGCCACACGGAACAGCAACCTAGTAAGACCCACAGTGCCAACAACAGCGCAGTCTTGTTACTGGAACCATAAAAAACTTTTTCAATTTGTCTGTTTCATGTAAAATCAATAGCAAAAATAGGACGTGTAACATTCAAAAAAAAAAAAGTCAAAGTATTGTGATAGAGGCCGAGTGGGTGCACCGACTAGGTGGAAAGGTGAGAATGAAGCACGTGGGATGTGACTCTCAGCCCCATCAACCTTGAGAGTCCATGGCAACCTTTTGTATTCAAAGGTAGACGTAGGAAGACTGTATAAGAGAGAGAAATGAGTTTGGAAGCAGAACTGTCTCTTCATTCCGCATAACGCTGCAGTAAAAAGGTTAAGCAAAAAAAGAAAGAGCTATTGAAATGCTCATACCAATACAAATCCATTTGCTTTTTTTCTGTTTTCTCTGTCCACTGTCTCACTGCTCTTCTCTTTTTCATCTTGTAGGAATTCGCTCTGAAGCCTGTGGACCTAAGCAGGCCTGAGGGCTCTGACATATACCAAATCCCTGCCCAGGGGAACAGGGGAGATTAAAAACTTCTGATTGAGGTGGAGAGGAAAGAGACACAGAGAGAGGGAGGGGGAGACGGAGAGAAAAAGCTTATCGTTCACCTTTGTTCTTCCTAATGCCCCAAGTGAAGGATCTCCATAGGCAAAGTCTGTGAATAACAGCAGACACAAGAGCAGCTGCCCACCACTGTGGTCAGATGATGGAGTGAGGGAGTGTAAGAGGAGAAGAGAACAGAATTACACCCTGTGAAAGAGCCAAGCTCATATTCTACATTAATTGAATGCCGGGGAGAGAGGAGAGACATGAGCGAAAGCCTTTTCTGTGCCAACTGCTTCAAGAGGTTTTGCAATTAACCCTCTGGCCATCATAAAATAATACCTGGCTTCTGTTGTTTTCCGATTGCTGGGTTTGGTTGCACGGTGTGGATGTGCGCTCAGGCTGTGGTCATGTTTCAACCCCTGGTGTGTAGACCGGATCGGACCAGCTGTCGGCGAAACAGCCTGTTCCTGCCGCTGCTGCTGCTGCTGCTTCTCTACAGCTCCCTCAAGGCCGCTCAGGCTGCCAAGCCCAAAGGGCCAGGACACACACATTTGAACTCCATCCGCATAGACGGGGATATCTCCTTAGGTGGGCTCTTCCCAGTACACGCCAGGGGCCACGATGGCAAGCCATGTGGGGAGCTGAAGAAGGAGAAGGGCATACACAGACTGGAGGCCATGCTCTTTGCCCTTGACCGCATCAATAATGACAATAATCTGCTGCCTAACATCACACTGGGAGCGCGTATCCTGGACACCTGTTCCAGGGACACTCACGCCTTGGAGCAGTCGCTCACCTTCGTGCAGGCTCTGATCGAGAAGGATGGGTCGGACGTCAAGTGCCTGGGTGGGGGAGCGCCCATCATCACCAAGCCTGAGAGGGTGGTGGGCGTCATTGGCGCCTCCTCCAGCTCTGTCTCTATCATGGTGGCGAACATACTGCGCCTGTTTAAGGTAAGACATCTGCACCATATCTGGTTTGGTTTAATTGTTTACCTCTTAGTACGTATGAAATACAGAAGAAATAACAGGAGCTGTGCTTGCTGGTGAATACTGTATGAAAGTGAAAACTATGATTTTGTGATTTTGCTTTATTGATCCTCCTTATATATTTGTTTGAATAATTGATAACACGACTGATAAACAGCATGAGCTGCTGAACAGTGCGGGAGAACAATACATGTGAGACTCTATGGACACTTTCATAACTTTAGAGAGGAGATCCCTTGGTAAATCTCATCACTCTGACTATTGCCCTGGAGGGGTTGGTTGCTAAGCAGTGAGAGGTATTGCCTGTCACAATACTGAAGTGATTAATAGGGCACTACTTGATTTCATTTTTACCCCACAGCCTTTCTTCCAATCAGTTTGCTGTTTACATCTTCTTATACTATGGAAAAAATATGTTCCGTTCATGGACATTTGGACATTTGATGAATTATTAACCACATATTTTATTTTCTATCCAGCTAGCTATGGCAAGCCTAATAGCTCTTTCTACATTACTAGAGGCTTGATTGCTATATTTAAGGCTCAGCTCGCTGCAAAATAATACACCTTTCTTTGACTTTAAGAGGAATTACTTTTTATTAAGTACTGTCGTGTGCCTGAGATTGTTTCACAGACAATTACACAGTTTAGCACGGATGTAACTCGCATCACTTTCAGTGGGACTGGCAAGGTAGTGGCTTATTTAAATTCTGTCTTAATTAGAATGAGGGATTCTTCAGCAGATAACACTCAGACTTCAAAACCAACTTCAAAATGTATTTCAGATCCTCTTTGTTAAAAAGCTGACTATAATCCTGACTCCAAAGTTTTCCTTCACCTTGATCTCGCATGAAAATTCTTGTCTAATTCAGGCAATATTCCCTTGTCTCTTGCTTAAAAGCACTGCGAGGTCAGATCGTGGCTGGGTCACAAAACTATCCCTGCAGCCGAGTCAGTTTCCTCAGCAGGCCAGGTGTTTACTGTCATGAAATCGGGTTTTAACCTTATTGACTACTCTCTGGATTTTGATAGGGCTGCCCCCCTAAACGTTAATGATTCAAATCCTTAGCTGAGGAGCCGCAGATTTGAAGCTCATCTTGCCGAAGCATCTGCCTTACTATTTTTTTTTTTTTTTTTTTTTTTTTTTTTTTTTTAACAGCGTCATTATACACAGAGCAACACAGGGTAACAGTGCAGCCGTCTACAAAGACCTCAAAATTCTAGAGACATTAACGTAATGGAAATAGAGAAGCGTGATGATACAGCTGAAATGCTTGTTTGATTGCTCAATCAAAATTAAAATAATCGTAAATTCTAAACATCCCCTAGTTACGTCTTCTCTGTCTTGTGTCGAAAATTAACTCAAAAACATGTTTGCACAAAACCAAGATGTCTTGGAAATTGAGATGGACATTTTCACTATTTTTTGACATTTTATAGACCGATAAATTAATCGAGAGAATAATTGGCTCATTGAACAGTAATGAAAATAATCCTTGGTTGTGGCCACAGGTGGTGGAAATAGAAGGCAGAGCGGCGTCATGCGTGCCCTGTTTTTTTCCCCCTCGTTTCTGCTCGCCCTCTCTCCGATGCCAGGTGCTAGACTACCACTGAACCAGACCAGACCGAACTGTGGCACCACTTCCTCTACCTACTCTACAACACGCTCAGCACGCTCCGCAGTGCGGTTAGATATTATTACCGAGCCATGATTAGGACGTCCTTTCTGTTTCACAGCGTAAATCTGGTGTTTTCACACAGATCGTGTTACATGTGAGTGAAACCAGTAGAATGTGAGTCTTGAGGTAAAATGTGAGACTTCACATGTAGGCTGTTAAACTGTAGGACTTTAGTGTGGGGTGGCTGCTCTGTAGGTGTGCTGCACTGTAGCATAAATGGGTGGATGCCATGACTACCATAGCATTAGTCACAATTTTAGGTGAGGTATATTGATTGTTGAATATTAGATAACAAAAAGCAGCAAACATCTCACTCAAATAATAGAACAAAAGAATGAAATATCAGCTCAAATTGGTGAGTTGATTATGAAAACTCTGCTGTAAGGGCAACCCCAGACGTCAGTGAGGTGTTGCTTAGTTTAACTAATGCACAAAAAAGCATAGAAAACTAACACTCGAGTACAGCAGCCTGCAGCCTGTGTATGATTTGATAATCTTCATGGTGATTAAGAGAGAGAGAGAGTATTGGATATATATGCAGCTTGTTGAGTGAACCCAGTGTGACAGAGCACACACACACACACACACACACACACACACACACACACACACACACACAGGCTAAAGTTTTGTGCATCATGCATATGTTCTAATGTATGTATGTGAGTCTTTTCTTTAGCTTGTGCATGTGTCTATACCTGGGTGTGCGCTGCATATACCTGTGTGTTGATAAAAACATTGTTGAGCATGCAAAGCCGTGTGTGTATGATCTCTCTGTTCCTTCCTGTCTCCCGCGCATAAAATATGCGTATATGCGCGCTCACACAGGTAAGAGACGGTGTGGGCCACAGTAATGAGCATCTCCAGTAGCGCGTTCTTGATCCCACTCTCACATGGAAGCCTCAAATCCTTCGTCATTAGCACAGTGCTCACTCTCTCTTCATTAATGCACGTAAGTGGTGTCCTTGCATATTTAATTTGGATTTCTCTGATCTCTTTTTCTCTTTATCCTCAGTGTGTACAGTATATTAGCATTCCCCTTTTCTACCTTTTTTCCTTTTTTTTTTTTTTTAACATTCAGACATCTGGAGGTTAAGACAGCAGCTCCAGTCAGATAGCAGGGTGAGCAGATCAACAAAGTGAGATTTTGTCAGTTTGTCCTCATTTACTATCACTTTGGCTTCTGAGTCGCACCATTGAAAATCAAACACTTTGCAAGGCAGGTCACCAATCAATCAACATCCACTCTAATTGAATAACAGTCATTACAACAATCAAAAAAGAGAGTAAGCTCTTGACATGATGTAAAGCAGTCTGGTCAGTTATATAGATTAAACAGTAAACCTTTAATGGAGAGTGGTGTGTGGTCATTTAGACAGGGTCTTGAGTTATAGCTTCCCAGGGATCCACTGGTCAGCCAGATGCCAGCTGGTTCCCCTGGTCCTGATGGAGCTGCTGATGGCCCCGGAAGGTTTTAACTTTATGTCCGTCTCATAACACGCCCTGCGCCAGCAAGACATTTGCTGCATGATCTAGCATGGAGAGAGAAGAGGGACAACTATGTCTACTAGCACTGCGGCGAGACATAAATGTTTGCTTTAAATGGAGGCGATGCATGCGCACGAGTACCAACTCAGCATACTGATGAAGACAGGCAGACTCTTAGGCGTGTAGGCATGCGCATTACTGTATGCTTGTACAGCCACACACACAAACACAGTATGCACAACTGCACCACTCAGACACATAACATGTATATAAACACTTGGCACAAGCATACACAAAAGCAATCAAGCACATTTGCACGAAAGCCACTTTAAACTCAGCAGCAGCGGCAGCAGCAGCAGCAGCAGCGGCAGCCACCCTGGTGTAGTTAGCAGGTTTACAGAAAGTGTTTCCTCAGCACTCAGCTGCATACAGATGTGGTCCGGAGCAGCTTGATGAATATTTTACTCCAACCTTATGTAACAGTAACACAGGGACCAGGAGCTTCAGCTCAAGAACATTTTAGTGTGGTTCACTGTGAAATGGGAGCTGCTGTGACAAGCAGTTGGGGAAAAGATAATTCATGATCACAGACGAGCTATGTCAGATGATTACATTATTCATTTGTGGAGCAGATGCGCTCATAAAGTTGACACACATCACCTACAACACAGTTCCTACTACCAGGTCTATCCCTCTCAATTACGTGTGTTTATCTCTGCAGTGGGTCCTGACAGGGATTTCCTTTTCACCTCAGCTGTAGCAAAAGTTTGGCTCCTGTTCAGGGAAAAGTTATGTTATAAATTTCATTTTTATTTCATTCCGTGTTGCACATGAGTAGTACGATGGAGAGCCAGCGACCCAGGAATAAGAAGCTCACAGCGTTCTGGCCTTTTAATGCTCGCTGGAAAGCATTTTGCTGGCTCCTTGTTCTGACATTACTGCTGGCTGGACAAACCATCTCACATTCACTGAAGTGGCCAGTATTAGTAGTAAAGGGACCACCAAAGAGAAAAAAAACACCCATTTAGAGGAGGAAAAGTAGAAAATGATTTTTCATGCAAGAGCACGCCGGCCCTCCAGCATCCCACTCATTCTGACATTTTCCCGTAGACTTAAGTTCATGCTCTTGCTTCTAAGTTTCACACTGGAGGCACAGAAGCTGACCTACTGAGTTATTGTTTATGCACCTGCACATTGTGCGGGGAATCTTATCAACCATCTTGTAATCACAAATCGTCTACCTGGGATTTTTATAAAGGTCTCAGAAGCAAATAAAAACAAATCATTAATACCTACTTGATCATTTTCCAACCTCTGATCCAGGCTTGTGCTGTTATGACGTTTCTCTTGCATGGCACTGCTGAAATGAATCTTAGGCAGTTTAATTGGTCTGAACGCTCAAACTGTCCGCAGAAAAGTAAAGCGAATAATATATAATGCTGGATAAACCCCATAGATATGAATTGCTGACATCTCTGAGCCTTTTTTTTTTTTTTTTCTCATGAATTCCTGTGGGACTTTTGTACATGATAACATCGCTGGTTAAAGCTGGTAAATATTGAACGTGAAAGTGGTGAATAATACATTTTTAGGCAGATTAGAATTGACGTCTGTACTATATTTCAAGCACTGTAATCTAATACAATGAATTGAGACATGTCACATTAAAGAAGCGATTCATGATGTAATTTTTTTATTTTGCAAACATAAATTTGGGAAGAGAAGCACATTTTGCATATAAAAAGGACATATTTCAAACACCCTTTTATAAAAAGCTGAAGTTGCTAATGTTTGCTT